TCTGAAACTTTAAAATCAAACATGTTTTATGCATTTATTACTTTATCTCTACATTTGTTTAGTTTTTATTTTTGGCTTTGTTTTGTGTTCCAAGATGCCACTGCACCAATGTTCATATATTTTAGGAATAATTATCAGAGAGAACAGCTCCTCCATTTTCATTGTGGACTGCATTGTGTGACGATGATGTCCTTTACGTAAATTATTATCCATATTCTGCGTATTTCATTGTTTCAGCTGTTAAGGAGCCAGATTTTAGTAAAGACATGATTGCCCTCTAACAATACTATGTTAATATGTTACTGTATTAGGTGAAGATTTGGAAGGCAGCTTGTGCTTTTGTGTTTAGCAGGCTCACTGAAGTTTGTTCTGCTAAAATTGCTTAACTTGCTTGTATTACGCAAAAAGGCTGACCGATATTGAGGGTAAACAATGAAGCAATCAAATACTTCCTCCACAGTTTGGTTTCTTGTTAGGTTATGACTTAGCTGTCAGCAAACAACTGAGTTGGGTCTGTCAGTTTGGTACCACAAAATACCTTTATATGTTGCTTAATTCAGTAATGGATTCATGCTCCCAGCACCATCCTGTAAATCTTTATCCACTCCATACTGTCAGCCACCATTACCTCTAAACAAACAGAAAACAAACATTCTTATTCAAAATCTACTTTACACAAACAATGATGTGGATCTACATAGAGACGCATTTGTACATACAGAATCTTTAAAGAAGCCTCAAACAATTTGCTTTTTCGATGCAAATTTACTTCTGTGTATTTTATCGTACTGACCACACTGCTAGATGCATTTTGGGCTCTGCAGAGGCTGCAGACGTTACCCCGGGGCTCATGTTTGATATCAGTTAGTGTGCTACACTAAAGATAAGCAATGGGCAGTCAACGCCAGATTTTTTTTTTTCATTACGAACAATAACACAGCACACATCACTCGACTGAAAGAGGAATGCTGACATGATGCTCTGACTTGATGTTTGCTCCTTTTGGAGGATTTCTCCCATGATTCATCCGGAGTAATCGAGCGTGTGTGGAAAAGCATGTGCTGGTGTGTGTGTCTGTGCTGTGTGGGAGTGTTTTGTGGTTTTATGTATTTAAGAGAGCACCATTTTAAGACAAATTCTCTTCAGAGAAAACAGTCACCAAAAATCGCCATATAGTCAGCATGTCAAACATCTGAACCAAAAAAAATGTCTTATTTGTGCTATGAGAGCCATGCCCCAGACATACTGTGGGTTTACTCTTGGTGTTCCTGGAGGTCCCTCAGGGATTTTCGAGATTAGATGTGTGAAGTTTGTCATTACTTTGCTCCTTCTCAGGCACACTGAACACTGAAAGGGGATGGAGATGTTGAGGGTGGTGTGTGATGGTGATTAGACAAAAACTTTTTCAGAGTTAAACATCAAGGAAGGGTGTGGTTTGTGCGTCCACTGGGTCAGTCGCTTCACGACGCCTCTGTCACACGGTTCCATTCTCCTGCCTCGGCTTGTGGGTCGTTGTGCGAGCGGGTGTGCTCAGGGAGGGGGCCAAGGTGCAGAGGAAACCAGCCAGCAATGTGAGACCGAGGCCCCCCCAGGCACAAAACATGGACCAGCCATAGCCATGGCTAATGTCCTCAGGGAGGCCGTACATGTAGCGGGGGTAGCGGGATAACTCAAAGTTGATTCCTGCCACACATGTGCACAAAGAGATGATGCAGCATGTTCCTGTGTGAACAGAAGAGACAAGCAGTGATTTAAAATGGTTCCAGTTCGATCATGAAATTCCTACATGTGTTGTGCATCTCACTGTAGGACAGGAATCATGTTACTGCAGGACATTGATCTACTATCTCATGTTAACCCAAAGATGCTTTCAGCTGTCACCAAACAAATATGGAAATGGAAAAAAATTGGATTTTGTCTACATGTAAGTGTGTGGTTGGGGACATATGTGCTCTCACAGTACCTCCCATGAGAAAGAGTAGCCCAGCTACATATTGCATGAGGTCATGCTGCTGGCAGCATCCCAGCACTCCGATGATCCAGCCAAAAAGGATGATGGACACGGCCATGCCCACAAAGCCAGCCGTCATTCTCCTTAAATCTGCAAACAGAGGTGAAAATGTCACCAAGTTAACAGTGAAAATGAAGACTGTTGTTCAAACTGGTAATTAATGGTCACAGTATGCTTAAACACTTAAAAAATAATAAAATACTGTCTTTACCTTACTTTAAATAACTAAAGGCAATCATTCAATTGACAACAATCAATGTTTTCGATCAACTAGATAATTTGGAAATTACTGTATTATTAATTTACTGTATTGTCAATCAGAAAAAGTGTGATCCAACAAATCAGCAAATAACCAATAAGTAATAAATATTATTCTAATTTCATGATGTGTCCATACTGTAACTGGTAAGGGAAAATACGAGGAAATAGGAGCAACTTTGAAAGAAAACCTCTAGTTAAACCCAAGTCAATATTCAATCTCTTTTTTTAATTAGAATGCTGAAATGTTTGCATATCCAGCTGACCTGCTGGTCACTTATTAAAAGACTGTCTATATTATGATAACCATTAAATTAATTAGTCAGAAGTGTACTAGTTGTTTCTATTCAGCCTATAGTTAGCATCAAATAACAGTTCATAGGTAAAAAAAAAAAAAAAGTTGAAAATGATTGGTAAATGATTCAGAAATCAAGGGCCTATAATTAAAAGCTTGACCTCGACAAGCTACAATAGAGGATACGCTAATGGATGCTAATTATATGAACAGTAATAAGTATAGAAATATCTACAGTATAAAGTATAGGTATGTATAAATAAGAATAAGAACATCTAATATAATAATACGTAATCTAATAGTTTAGATAATGGTTTGGTATATCATGTTCATCGCAATACTGATGCAATCAAAGGTCAAACAGCTCCTTCTCACTCTCTCTCTTTGAACAAGGATATCATGTAAGAAATACAACTGTTTTAAGGAGAGATTTAAAAGAAGACACAGATCTGTCTGACCTAATGTCCTCAGATAAGCCAGTCTACAACCAGTGGCTCCCTAATAGTGATGGCCTGATAACCTCTGGTCATGAGACTGGATGTGGAAGAGAAGGGCTTATAGGGTCAGAAATATATTCAGGAACGAGGGGCAGCTGTGCCTTAAAAGTGATGAGTATAATCATATAACAATTCAGAATTTAACAAGTAAGTAAGCGGTTAGCATTATGGTAAAATTAACTCTCGTGCTAGATTAGGATTAAAACGTAGCTGCTGCAACTGTAGATGAAAGACAGATTTGTAACGGTTTAAAGAGAATGACAGCGCAGGGAGATAATGACATGAGTTTATTTCACTAGTCCGGCTGTTAAAAAAAAGACTGCATTTTATAAATATCTTTGAAATGGTAAAATCAAGGCAGAAAAACTGCTTTGATTTATCCTAAACTTTCTAAAATATCTAAGAATCTCTGTGGTAGAGCAAGAAATGTGACCTAGGAGAAACATGTACGATAATAAGACAGGGCCCAGAATTGTGCTTTGAGGCACGCCAAATTTCAGTAGAACTGCCCATTATCAGATGGAAGATCATGGATTTTCTCAACCTTTTCTGTTCAGTGTTTTTTCTCTTTTTATTGCTTGAGTAGTCTGTTAACCTAGTCTATTAATAACACACTACGCTACCCACTAGATACGCCCAACAAGTCCAACCAACTCCACAAAGACACACAAACACTCTTAGACTTACGGAGTGCATGCCACTCATCCTGTCGTATGGTCTTTGTGATGTTGATAGGTAAATTTCGTGGTAGGATGGACGAAGAGTAGTGATACTTGACTGGGGTACATCTTTGAATCATTCCTGGCAAAAAGAAAATGATGGAGACAATTAAAACTGGAGCACAAATATCTTTAACACAAGTAGAGAGAGGTGACAAAAAAGAAAATGAAGTAAAAATCTTATTCTGAACCACTGCCCCACTTGTGGGATTATGAAATAATATACATGGTAGAAAAGCCTCATATTTATTTTATACCCTCACTGAGTTTTAATTTACTAAGATGGCCTTATTAACCTTGTGTTTCCAACCACTCCTACATTGTTATTAAGAGGGATTAGGAAACAATATGGAATATGGATTATTCTACCGACGGCTGCATAAAGAACCTTAATTGCTCCCATTTTAAGTGAATCTCTTCACATTGACTTGATGGTCAGTGCAATAAATTGCATTCACAGTCCAGTATATTCTGAACCTAAACACTTTTGGAGCACAACAAATACTGCAGTCCAGCTCCTACTTGATATGTATAGACATACAGCAACTTCGTATTTTAGCAAATCATCACTTAATGTCACATTTGATGGAAGAACAGGGTTATTTCTACATCCCTTTGCATATGCGTACTTTGCATAGGTTAGAACCACAGCCTTCTTTTCGTAATGGGAGTTCAATACAATTATACAAAATTCCCATAACTTTTGTCAAACTTGGTTAAAATGATTTTGACTCTTTCCTTCTAAGGAATCAGAGTTTGTGATCTTCTTGATCTGAATGTTCTTTATAGAGGCACCTTTTGAAGAAAGATGTCCATTTATCAAAGTGGCATTTTTAGTCCAAATATTTAAGGTTTTCCAGATGGACGGATGTGGTATGTATAGACCAAATCGCAGCTTGCTACCTGGTTTAGGCATTTGTAGTATTTGTTGTACATCTAAAACATTACACAGATGTGTAAAACATAAAAACTTTTACTGTTAAAACGGCATCAGTATATCACATCTAAAAAACAGCAGTGTTTTTATTAAGACTTCAGCTTCCAATACCAAGATGCAAGGCAAGCATAATTTTACATCTCACGTTAGGGAAAACATAACTCCAGACTCAACTTTCATAAGAAACTGTGTTTTAACTGACAAAATTTTGGCTACCTGGTAAAACTTTAAATGTCCTGCACATCGAATCCACACAGAAGAATTTGATTATTTTGCCTGATTAGGTATCTTCTCAGGACTGTGTTTGATTGACATCTGCCTGGGGAGTCAGGGAGATGTCAATCAAGCACAGATTTGTTGTTCCTACAGCTTTATTCTTATTAGTACGTTGAGTTTGGTGACTTCATGTAATTCCCAGCATGTCTCCGTTCACCTTCATACAGAGCGGCAGTCTTATTAGCCAAGATGATTGAAAACACCTGTGTGGGCTTGAAAGGCCTTTAAGCGTTAAACTGACTGCCAGAATTAAAGTCCAAACCTCACCAGCAAAATGAACAATCAAAGATCAACACTCACACACATTTCTGTATAGTTAAGGAGCATGTGTTAAAAAAGTGTGTTGTTGTTAATTTAACACGATATATGAGGGCGAGTATACACCAGCAAAATTTGTTCAACACAGAAACGATTATTTTCCTGACATCGCTGCTGTCACAAGACTGTGATCATCGAGCTTCAGAAACCTTTATATCTGTGCACTATCAAAGTTCACAATTAGCAGTAATTAGGTTACTTTCTGAACACAGTTTTGTAAGGCTGTGTACTAACTATTGTTTTGCCTGTGAGCGCGCTCACATACTGTAATTCAAAGTAACGAATCCCACAAAAACTGTCTGGCTGTTGACATCTGATATCTCACTTATGTGTTAAAACTTCACCCTTCACCTTTCAAACTGATGAGCATGATCACAATTAGGCTATCAGGGTGCATCATTATGGCTTTGGAGCTATTTTTGTCAGAAAAAAGATATTATGTTGTTCAATTAAGCCCATTTATGCGTGTTTTAACAGGTGTACCAGTTTGTGTATTATGCAAATGTATCTTATATGACAGTGGAAAGCTGTTTTGGTTTTTTTTTTTGTCTTAAACTTCTACAACACATTTATTAGTTATGTATTATATAAAAGCCCTTTAACCCCTGTGGCAGATTATAAATAATATGTGATAACAGTATTAATATATGATATCAAATTGTAAACATATCAACACCAATATTATCCCTAAACATAATTATTGAAAAGGAATAAATATGATCTTAAATTGATAAATATCATGTGTTCCGGAGATTAGATACAGTCTTTACTTCAGTGGTTACTAGTAAATAGATCTATTATACTTGAATTTGAGCCAGAT